TCAGTAGGAAAATTTTCCTAAATCTTGAGAAGGGTCTAAGGTTCCCTTACCCAGGCCTAAGTCAAGGAAGAGCTGACTGTGCCATTCTTAATTTTGGGAGTATTTAGTTATTCTTTTTTTTTTTTTTTTTTTTTTTTAAACTTCCTCAGCTTTTCTGTTCCATGGCTGCCACCTTCACCCTGAATTTCTTCCGCTCTGGGATTCAGTTTGGAAGCTGGGGATCTTTCCAGCTCCCTGGGCTGCTGAACTTTGGGGAGTTTAAGGTAAGATTTAGTGCTGTTATTTCCCATCCCTCTCCAGTCTCTTGTCAGTTCAGTGTTTCTTTCTGGGTTTGTTTTTTGGTTTTTTTTTTTTTTTTTCATACATGCTGGTATTTCAGTGAAGGGCAGTTGGTATTTATCTGCAATACATTGGTAACTGAAGACAGAATTGTTCCCCTTTCATCACAGCTGTAGAGACAGAAGCATTGGTAGGAAGTTGCACCAGCTACTGTAATGCTTTTTTTTGTGCTTTTCTGCACATAGTGCTCCGAATCTGATAAGAAATGCCACCTCTGGACAGCTGTGGACTTGGGCTTCTTCATTCTGATGGGGATTGTGGGAGGCCTTCTTGGAGCCACCTTCAACTGCCTGAACAAGAGACTTGCGAAATACCGCATGCGGAACGTGCATCCCAAGCCAAAGCTGGTCAGGTATTTGTGCTCTCTTGAGTTTGTGCAGAGATCTCTGATCTGTGTTCAGTGTCCCAAAGCTAAAGCATCAATCTAGAAGACCCAGTGAGTGGGACTGGAGGAAATCCCAGACCTATTCTTTGTGAAATCACAAAATGAAGCCTCCATAGAACTTAAAAGTGAACACCAGAAACTGGATGTTACAGTCCCTCTGTGTTTTTGTAGTTACTCTGATGGTACAGAGGGAGCTGCAACCCCCCTTACAAGGGCTATGAAGGGAGCCCTTTATAATAAAGGCTATAGCTGAACACACCAGAGCTTTGTCTCCATGCAGTATTTTTTTATGTCTTGTCTAAACAGATGTGGAAGGAATAGCTGATCCCACTCTTTTTTTAAAAAATTATCTTAGTTAATTAAATCCATGACTGAGCTAGTGCCTGTGCTGTTTAGAGAGAGAATTGCCGTGTAATTCTGGAAAAGGGCTGTTTGTTTGCTCTAGGCAATTCTGACATAAGAAGCTTGGGTTTAAAAAAAAAAAAAAAAAGAACAAAAACACACCTGTATTTCAGAGTTAGAAAAAAAAAAAGAGATATGAGAGACTATTCATCAACCTGTCCAGTCCTGTCTAGACTTTTACCCTGTAAGGATCTACAGAACATCGTTTCTATGTGAACAGACTCATTACTGGACCCTTCCCTGTGTCTTTATATATGTGACTGCTATGTGTTCTCTGGGCAGAAATAGCTCCTTTTTGGGGCAGGCAGTTAAAAAGGGGAGCTAATGCAATCCCTGGCAACCAAGTCATAATTCAGCTGACTTGCAGAGTCCTCTTCTTCTGATGTTAAGCTGTGGTGACTACTTGTTCTTGCGACCTTATCAAAGTCACGTGCAGAGCTGGCACTGGGTTACAGGGCTGAGTGTGGCTTCAGTGTCTCGTTTCTCTTGTGTACTTGCAGAGTCTTGGAGAGCCTGCTGGTGTCGTTGACTACCACGGTCGTGGTCTTTGTAGCCTCTATGGTTCTGGGAGAATGCCGGCAGATGTCTTCCAACAGTCATAGTGGCAATGACACTCTGAGCCTGCAGGTGAGGGATCTTACATGAAGGTTATCTGTCCCCATCATGTTGTTCACCCTCCAGAGAAGCACAGGCACGTAATGAGCTTTTGACAGCATGCAGTACATAACAGAACTTTGGTGAAAGCCCGTGGACAGTTGCAGGATCTTAGGGTAATAATGAAAGCTACCCTTTGTGCTTTCATACTTTGTCAAAGCAGCTCAAGCTGTGAATCAGGAAGCCCACTGATGCTGCAGGCCCATCTCTGCTATTGATGTTTGGTCTGAACTTCACAAAGCGTGGGCTGACAGCCCTATACAGAAGGGTTACTCCCTTTCTGCCCAAAAACTAATACAGGAGGGAGTGGATTTTAACTGTTTGTGTCTTTTGTGTCCTGCATTAGGCTATGTCAGAGGATGTGAATTCAAGCATCAAAACTTTTTTCTGCCCAAATGAAACCTACAATGACATGGCCACACTCTTCTTCAACCCTCAGGAGTCAGCTATCTTGCAGCTCTTCCACCAGGATGGTGAGTAGCTAGGAGACACTGCCTCATCCCATGCTTAGGCTTCAGAGCTTCATCTTGCTTGAAACAGCCTTGTCATAAGAATCACAAGGCTAAGAGCATCTTCAGGCCTTCATGGTTCTGGGGGACTGCTAGTACCATAGGTGAAAGCTTCCTCCATGGGAAGAAAGGCCTGCTTTTCCTCTCTTTTTCCCTTATTCGTTGTCTTCATGTGTGTTTGGACTGGGAGACTAAGTAACTGTTGTGAGATGAGCCTGCAGTGAGCTGAGGGGTGGATGGTACAAGACTACTGTCTTTGTCCAACAGACCTGTGCCCCTTTAGTCATAATTCTTCTTGTGTTGCAGGTACTTTCAGCCCAGTCACACTGTCCTTGTTCTTCCTTCTCTATTTCTTACTCTCCTGCTGGACATACGGGATCTCTGTGCCCAGTGGTCTTTTTGTGCCATCACTGCTTTGTGGGGCTGCCTTCGGACGCCTGGTCGCCAACCTCCTCAAAAGGTGCATTGAGTGTGTGTGTGAGAGATGTGCTGCAGACACACGCTGAGCTCTCAGGTTATTCTAATCTCCGGGCTCTGTGTTTTGTGCTAGCTACATTGGTCTGGATCATATCTACTCGGGAACCTTTGCACTGATCGGGGCAGCAGCATTCCTGGGAGGAGTGGTCCGCATGACAATTAGCCTGACCGTCATCCTAATTGAATCCACCAACGAGATCACCTATGGGCTCCCAATTATGATCACCCTCATGGTGAGTATAGGGTCTTAGCTCTGGTTTCTTGCAGACTGCTTGAACACGTGCTGGCCGTGAATCTGTGCTCCTTCCAGGGCTACGATAAGCCAACAAGTCTTGTACTTGGAGCAACAACTCAGTAGACCTTCCATTTGCTCTACAGGTAGCCAAATGGACAGGAGACTTCTTCAACAAAGGCATCTATGACATCCATGTGAACTTGCGAGGAGTACCTCTTCTGGAGTGGGAAACAGAGGTGGAAATGGATAAGTAAGGCTGCTTCTCTTGACAGGGCTGTGGGCTAGGGTTTGTGGTAGGGTTCTTGCTCAGAAACTAATGCTGCAATGCAGGGGGATGATGCTTCATCTCCAAAGAACCTGGCTGCTCTGAGAGGACAGCTGCAAGAGGAGTTGGGAGTTGTGCATCAGGCCTGTGGCAGGAAAGAGGTGCTGGAACCATTTCTGAGCAGGAGTGGACAAGTGGAAGTCTCAGGGATGGATTTGTGAGGTTCAGCCAGAACTCTGTGAAAATGTTCCACCTGACTTTGCTTCTTGCAGAATTTCATCTTCCCATCTCTCGTCTTTTCCCGGTAGTGTTTGAACACTTACAATGTTAGAAGTTGGAACCTTTTTCATTGCCTATTTCATTGATGCAATATTATATTAAAAAACAAAAATTAAAAAAAATAATTGTGCTGGCATGGCCAATAATGCCGTAAAGGCGAGCACACAGGTACAAGAACAGAACTAGATTGTAGCAGACTCCTTCAGAATCTCATTTTGGGACTGGTTTGTTTCCTTTTTTGTCCATCACCAGCCTTCTGTCGCTGACATGATGCATGCAGCAGTCTTAGATTTCTGTTTCCTCAGGCTACGAGCCAGTGACATCATGGAACCCAACTTGACGTATGTCTACCCACATACCAGGATTCAGTCCCTTGTTAGCATTCTGCGCACAACTGTCCATCATGCCTTCCCTGTAGTGACTGAGAACCGAGGCAATGAGAGAGAGTTCATGAAGGGAAATCAGCTGATAAGTAACAACATCAAATTCAAGGTAAGAAGTTGCTTGTTTGCTAAGTTGAAGGGTGAAGAGCTTTGTTTTGCAGGTGGAAAGCCCTTTCTTTTGTTATCTAGGCTTTTGTCAGTGTAAAATTCAGTCAGACATAAGCACCTACTGCAATACAAAATTTTCGAGGACTCAGTTTCATTCCATTGTCTGGATCATGGTAAAGACTGCATTCCTAGAAGCAAAAGTTAAGAGGACTAGGTAACCTGTTTAGGATAGACATGCAAAAAGTTTGGATTTGGCACTGAAGTACTAAACTCACCGTTGAGACCGGTAGTAGGTGCCTAAATGCTCCTCATCTGTAGGAGGGGTAGCGGGACAGATGCTTTAGTCACTTGGGAAACTTAACATTTAAGACCAGGATGAATAATGGACATGCTTGTGGCATACTTTTGCCTTAGCAAAAAAGGGTGCAGTGCCTGCATTCCTAAACTCCAGATTCTCTGTTCAAGGAGAGTACAGTCCTATTGGCTATTCTTTTGAGTACTGCAGCAGCACTGACTAAGGAACACCTTATCTGGTGACATGAAGTTATGATCAAATAATTCATAGTCGCTTCTGGGTAACTGTTGACCTGCTTAGTGATTATCTGAAAATTGTTTCTTGTATCCAGAAATCTAGCATCCTCACCCGAGCTGGAGAGCAGCGCAAGCGTAGCCAGTCCATGAAATCCTACCCTTCAAGTGAATTGCGTAACATGTGTGATGAGCACATAGCAACAGAGGAGCCACCAGAAAAGGAGGATCTGCTGCAACAGATGCTAGAGAGAAGGTGGGGTCCTGGTAGGCACAAATGTATGGAAACAGGGTGTTTCTGTATGTTGAGATGTGTTGTGATGCTTCATACAGTCCCTGTCATTCCATATATCAGAGGAAACTGTGTTAGTATCCATATTTTAGGAGAAGTGACTCGTCAGGTCTCATCAGTGAGTGCTGGGGCTTACACCTGTAACTGAGTCCTAGATTAACGGCTTGATGGTGTCCAACTTGTTAACTTAAATTTCCTCCAAACACCTATTCAGAAATATTTCCTGGAGAGGATGAAATACCCGGGGAAATACCTTGTCTGTAGAAATCGATGCCCTCTTGTCTGCAAAAACCTGAGGGCTCTGCAAAGCTCACTTCTCCCAAGAGTCTTAAGAGCTAGTGACTGGTGCCATAATACTGATACCACCTTTCTGGTGACTGGACTGAGTCACCAGGCTTTGTGTTGGAGTTGGTTCCAAGCAGAAGCCCAGTCTAGTGAATCAGGTTCTAGCCTAGTGATTGTGGCTCTTGTGAGTGGAGTCCTGACCCTGACGTTTTGCCAGATGCTTGAGCTTTTAGTAGAATCTGAATAATTTAGCACTGAAAATTGCTTTAGTAGCAAGTGATTTGAAACTGAGGATTGTGAGACAGTCTCCATTCTGCTGTTGTCATACTCTGCCCATGGTAATGGCTCTTGACCCCTCTCTGCTATTTTGTTTGGAGAAGAAAAGACTTGCTTGTCTCTAGCAAGAGTCCCTAAAATGTTCAGGAGAGGGTTGCAAAGAGCTGAAATAGCTGATGTTGTTTTGGAGGTGGGGGTATGCGTCTCTCCTTAGGTTCATGCAACTTACAACATGTTAAATCTGTCACAGATATACTCCCTACCCCAACCTGTACCCTGACCAGTCTCCCAGTGAAGAGTGGACCATGGAGGAACGCTTCAGGCCTTTGACCTTCCACGGCTTAATCTTGCGCTCACAGCTCGTCACCCTTCTTGTTAGAGGTGTTTGTTACTCCGAGAGCCAGTCGGTGAGTCTTCCTAATCAGGAATTGTAGCAGGGACATCACTTGTCTGAGAAGGTTGGGAACAGTATTTGTGGGCTGCCAAAAAGAATTTATCTATTTTTACAGTTTAAGGAATGCATCTGTGTTTTAAAAGCTGCAGATGGATAATGTGAATTCTCCCTTGCAGCTCTAGAATAAAGAGAATTTAATTTCTGTTTAAGGACCCCCTGGAAAAGAGGACAGCTACTGTTTAAAAAATAAACCCACAAACCCATTTGTAGCATAAAATTGCAATCCTTCAGCACTGGAGAATGAAGGGCAGATATTAAATAGAGCAACCAGCAGTGTATCCTGCGTGTTTTTAGTGCTGCCTGCCAAGGTATTACCAGCAAAGTGTCAGCTGTATCCCTAGGATCAGTGTGAGCAGTTGTGTTTGGGGCTCATCTTGCCCAAGACTGATTGGTTGCTGCCCTCCAGCGTTTAGTGTAGGTTTGTCAGAGGCTGGAGAGCAGATCTGCCGCTCTCTCAGCTAAACGCCTGTATAGGTTTGGGCTTGCACTGCTGCAATCTGAGAGCAGCAGTACCTCTGCAGAAGTTGTACGTGCAGGCATGAGACGAGAAGGAGACCTGGGTGGATGGTTGGTAGGCATTGTTTGCTGTGTTGCTTGCAGCCCGTGTACTATCTGGGATGGTGACACATCGGTTCAGTGGGATTTGTTCTGATTGCAGAGTGCAAGTCAGCCTCGTCTGTCCCATGCGGAGATGTCAGAGGATTACCCCCGCTATCCAGATATCCATGACCTGGACCTCACGTTGCTGAACCCTCGCATGATAGTGGTAAGAGATGTACTGCAGTATGACAGTGTTTCCTGGTACACGTTTAGGACTGTCCCAAGCTTTTAAAAAAAGCTGAGAGCATGTTTAAGTCTGCCTTGGGATGCAGTGACCAACATACTGTACTTCTCATGCATCAGTCAGTCTGGTCTGCATGGGGAACTCAATCCTTTTACCTGCTCTGAGGTAACGTTGCATTACTTTCAGAATAAGAGGTTTCCTGTCTAGTATAACTTCCTTCTAGATTAGACTCCTGCCTGAGTGAGATCAGGCAGGAAAACTGCTGATATCTATTTGGAACTCTGTGTGTTGGCAGCTCTTATTTGTAGAGAGATAGAAGATGCCCGCAGTCCAATACCCTGTCCAGAGATAAGAGCATTGGAGGAGTTGTAGGAATTGTTTGTTAATGAATCCCAGAGACAGTGAAAATGCCCCTTGTAAATAATTGTTTTCTTTCTTAGGATGTCACCCCATACATGAACCCGTCACCCTTTGCTGTTTCTCCAAACACTCACGTGTCACAAGTCTTCAACCTGTTCAGGACAATGGGACTCCGACATTTGCCAGTTGTAAACGCAGTTGGAGAGGTGAGTCCTTATCTCCATTTTGTCTTGGCAAGGAAGCCACTGTGGTTTTTGCAATGCTTTCTACCTTTGGCAGAATTAAGGTCTCTTTTAACATGAAACAAATGCTTTAAAGAGATCAGAATGTGATCTTCTTAAGGCCCTGAAGCATTGTTGATTACTGTGACTTTGTTACTGTCTTTTGTGCCCAAGCCTGCTTCCCGCTTTCCCTGCAAAGAGCAGGAAGTGCAGTCTCTCTCCTGTCTCAGGTTGGCAGCAGGTGAAGCTCTTGCTCTCTTGTACTGTTGAGAGGCCTTGAGCTCATGAGGGGCCACTAATTTTTGACAGCTTTGTTCAAGGCCAAGAGCAGAATTTCCTGTGTGTTGGGGCAGGAGATTTTTCTGCTGGAACGGAATTTCCATTCTGTTCCTACTCCGTAAGAGCAGGAAGCTAAAGGAATCTTTGAATGGTTTGTGCATGATGCGCTGTACTTCTCTCTTTGCCATTTTACAATGCTCAGGAATAGTCAGTAGGTGTCAGTAACATAATGAGAAACTGTTTCCCTTGAGCTTGAACTGCCTGTCCCTGTGAGACAGTGGTGCTTTTTCTGGCTCTTGGGGTTCCTAATAGCTACTCTGCAGAGCCTGTTGATTGAGAACAAGAGATGTTTACTCGTTCCATGTTTAGTACAAAATGCTCTTGCAGCACTAGAGAGCAGCCTAGTTCTAAACTCTTTTGATTGTGTGAAATCGCTGAGATGTTTCATCAGCTGTAATGTGTGGTGTGACTGTTTTCCCAGCAGGCTGGGAGAGGGTCCCTTTTGTGACCTGCTGGCTGGTGATGGCCAGTGTGCAATCACCACTTAGCTAGTCTTTACCATTTCTCTGTTTTGGTCTTTAGAGTTTCCTAGAATGTGTCTGATATGAGCTATCTGCAGTCATGTCTCGTGGCATACCAGAAATGTCTCTAATGAAGCCATAAGAAACAGCTTTGTTATTTCCAGTTATAGTTTTAACTTTCCAAAGAATTTGGTTACATCTGTATGCTGTGTAACATGGACAGGATTTCCCTTCGTAGGCAGGAGTAACTACTGCTGTGCCCAGATATGATAGTGACAGTTAGGCTGTCTGTTTGGATGTAGTTAAAGCACTGTCTTCCCTGTAGATAAGTGCTGGGAGAGGGAGGGGTGTTGTTTTGGCAAGATTTGAACTTGAACCCTCTCTGACTCAGCATTGGTTAAGAACTGCTTGCAGGTTCCCTCTTTTTGGGGGTTTGGAATGAACAACAGCTCTACCATGCACATCTTAGTGGCACATCTGTGATACTGACTTGTATCTTTTTTCCTCTTTTCTTCCTCTTTAAGATTGTTGGGATAATCACTCGGCACAACCTGACCCACGAATTTCTGCAGGCAAGACTGAGACAACACTATCAGACCATTTGATGCCCCTGCCCATCTTGCCCCACTGTCGGTGTGGCTACCTCCCTCTTCCAAGCCTGCACACGCGCTCGCATTCTGCTTGGACCCCACAAGGCCCAAGACTTGCCGTTTGGCTTCTCACATGCATATCAAGCCTTGGGAGCTGGAAAACATCTTGCTAGCCAGAGAATTAGAGGAGCTGCCTGAGCCCAGAGCTGTTGATTGGTATCAGGCACTTGGTTTGACCACTCTTTATCTAGGTTTTTTCTTTTCCTGTGCCCCAGTTATCTCCTTTCATCAGATGTTGTCTTGACACTGTATGTTCTGCTGTTTTGTTTTGGATTTTTCTAAGGGTTGGAAAAAAGAACCATCTAGCTCCACTGTGTCCCGTGAAGAGAACTGCAGCATCTTTTCCCTGTCCTCCTGTATGTCTCCCTTTTCCTCTTCCTCCCTTGTTGCTGCAACTGTTGCCTTATTTGTGTGAGAAGGGGGCTGCTGTCAAGGCTGAGAGGAGATACTGAAGTTTGCAGTTACCCTGCAGCTGCTCTGCAGGATGGCTTTTCTCAAAATCAGTGTGAAAAAAATCCAGCTTTTTTGAAAATACACCTCTCATTGCAGGTGTTTCCAGTTGCCCATGTTTTTCCACTCTGGCTTCATTTGTTACTAAATTCTCTTCTCCTTTCATGGGGAAGCATCCCTGCTATGATGTTTTTGACAGTAGCTGACTTTTGAGAGCAGCTCAGCAAATCAGGAGATCAAAACAGTTCAATTCCAGTTAGTGTTTGGGATTATACATATTTAATAACAAGAAAGGAGATCTCTTTTCCCTGTTAGCTGTTGCTATTATCTCCCTGTAAGAGTCTCTTCTAAGGCACTTTGTGGCACTCCACTTTCACTACCACTGCCCTGAGACTCCTGCTTTTCTTGGCATTTGTAGGCGCTTTGCCCTTGTATCAATCCAACAGTGAGAGCCTGTGACACCTTTCCAGCTAGGGTTAGACACCAGGGAACCCCACATCCCCAGAGCACAGTGAAGTGTTGCTTTCTGGAGGTAAACAGAGCTAATGCCCTGTCTCTGGGCTTGGCTGAATTATCCCTGTGTCATGAGAAGCTGGTGTAACTTCAGGCTGCCATACAGGAGCGATACTTGGTGGTGGTGGTGACTAACAGGCAGGATCTGCTGCAGAGTGATGAGTGGGGCTGTCTGTGCTCTAAAAATGCTTGGGATAATGTTTGCAGCTGCAACAGCTGAATATCTGTAAGGGTAAAATAAGCACTTAGAAGCCAGTTGCAGCCAGTTTACTGTTTTAGCAGGTACCATCCTGGCCAGCACCTGTATTGTTCCAGCAGGCACCTGCCCTCTTGAGTTTTGCATACAGATGACCCTCAGTGGGAAGCCAGCATTGTGCCTCCAGGGGCTGCAGAATTGATTGGCTTGATAAAGCACAGAGCCGTCTCTCAGCCAAGAGACTGAGCCAAGTAACATGGGGAATGTATCCCAGAAAAGCTTCTACATAGCCTCTGAGCACTCCAGTTAACCTGTTGTCTGCCATAAGGAGCTAGCTAAGTGAGAGTTGTGACAGAAGGAAATCAGACATTGTTTTATTTTCTGAATTCAGGAACTCTATGCTGAAGATTTTCCTCACTTTCCACCCGTGTTTTAGGGTAGAATTGGTCCTTGTCATCCAGTGCATGGCATGGTTCATCTGGAAAGTTTGTTTTTAGAAAAACTTTTTCTAAGCACTTAGGGGTTTTTGGTTTTTTTTTGTTTTTTTTTGTTTTTTTATTCCTCTCCATTGACATCTGGGGGCCTTGTTGTCTCTTGGTGTTCTTTCCCACTTGCTGCTTTTTTTAAGAGAGGAAGGGCAGATCTGTGTTTGTTTTCAAGAATGGATTTGCACCATTTTGACAAAGGAAGAAGTGGACTGTGATGCACGCAATGGCAGTTGTTGCAAAGGAAGCTGTGTGTCCCCCAGGACCCTGTGTTAACTACGGCCACTCTCCAGGGCTGCTTGGGAAGTGACCTATCTAAAGAGCTGGGAGTACGTTTGTTCTTTTCCCTTTCTTACTGTGGAATTTGCAGGAACAGCTCTTGTTTCCTCCACTAAAATAGTTTTGCTGGCTGCTGAATGCCCTAGCTCCATTTCAAGTAAGGCATGCAAGCTCTTAAACTTCCAAGAGTAAAGTGAAGGTGTTTTCCTACAGCCAGGATCCATCACGTGCATTCAGCCTGGACTCCTTGTCTGGGACAGGTGTGACATGCTTCTTGGAGCATATGAGTTGGAATTGGCTGCTACTCTTGACTTGCAAGTTTTTGTCCCCTGTAAGTAGAGTAAGGATGTTTGTTCTCTCTGGATGGTGTCTGCAGGTGGTTTCTGAAATGCCTGTGTTCACTGAGCTCTGGTTTGCCACTGAGCTATCCCAAGAAACTTCCAGCACCCTTTTGCACTCTCTGAAGCAGGACTGGAGGTTTGAAATATGCTTCTGTTAACCTACTTTTCATTCAAAGGATTTGTGCTTGTGGGCAGTTACAAATCACAGGAATCCTGTTTTGACGGGATTTCAGATCGCTCTAATGTGGAATTAGCAATCCCATACTGTCAGAGCACCTGTCAAGAATGCCCTGTATCTCTCCATGACAAATCTTTTTCCTCTTGTTCACATTGAGTGCTTGTGTGTGGAAGGTTCCTTCTCGTCCTGCACACAAATAGGGCTCCTTAGATTGTTTGCCTTGAGCTGGTCATGTCCTGGTTTATTTCTGTACACAAACTGCAGCCATATATTTTGCTGCAAGATGTCTTGTCATCGCTACTGCGCCCTGGAGTCAGGCAATCCAGACAAGACAGGCTGAAAAAATAGTGTCAAGGTTTGTCTGAGCACGAGCTGCACTTCCCCATGAGAAGGCCACCTGCTGTCAGCACTGACTGCTCTGCCTATGCATCTGTCTTATTCAAACGTTTTGGCTGGAAAATGCACCCCTTTCGCTCTTTCAGTAAAGAACTTTTAAATAATGATGATGGGTGACCCTGTCAGCTGCTTTAAAGGGAAATCTCAGTGTGCAATCGCTGTTACGTAGCTTGCAGAAAGGGAATTACAAATTCATGCGGTGTTTGGAAATGCAGCATTTCCCTTCTGCTGTGGACTGATGCAAAGGGGCTTGTGTTGAATCAGTCTTGTTCTCACACTTTGGTCACTTAATTCCTCTCTTAAAACACACCAACTGCTTCTACTCTGGCTCTGATTGCTTAGTGACTTACCGAGAAACTTACTTCTAACATAGGTGCCTGTAACCTTTTACTCAGAGCAACACTAAAGGAATAGTAACCAAGAACTGGATTAGTATTGATGGCAAAAGTTAGGAGGTAGTATGGGGCATTCTCCCCTGCCTCAAGGTTTCCTGTGCAGTGTTAATTATGCAGTTTTGAATTGTTAACTTACTGTGAGCCATTCCAATGGTAGCAACTTACCTTTCCGTTTGTTTTTTTGCACTGTTTTTTTGTTATGAAATGATGTAAGCTAATTCCACAGTGTATATAAATGGTATTTTTTTTAAATTTGTATGAATATATTTTTATTTGAACTATGGCACTTGGGAAGTATTCATGTAACCATAACATGTCTGAGAGTAAAATGTTTGTGTGTCTCCTTCAGCACTTTCAAGGCCTTTTGATGTTTCTAGTGTTGTCTTATTTTTTCCCTTTATTATAATAAAACTGGTAGAACATGGCAATACCCAAGGACGTAATTTGAGGTAGATGAGTAGTTGCTATTTCTGAGCTGTCTGGATCAAACAGTTTTTGCAGCACATGCTTTGAGGCTGGACAAAGATAGGAATTATTGTAATCCTTTAGGTTGCAACCACTCAAGTCCCACGTTGCTACTTTCCTCCCAGGAAGTTAATGAAACACATGTAGAGTGCAGTGTTGCACCTCTTGTTTCACAGGTGGCTTCTCCAGGATGTGAAGTCTTAATTTCATCTTCAGCTTTTATTTAGCTTGTGGCTATCTTTCCCACTTTATCCTGCTGTCAACCTTACAGAAAAGAACTTCAGTCACAAATGCAGTAGTGTAGGAGGGAGTGAGAGAAACATTTCCTTCCTAAAATTGAGGTACATCAACTGCCACTTTAGCATAACTGTGAAGGAGGAGATGGAGTATCTGTCTTTTGTCTGCTCTCTTATGTCAGGGCTGGGAGTGGTGTGTCTGTCCAGGCTTACAGACACAGCTTGACAATTTGGTGTTACGGCAACTTCCTTGCAGCCAAACCTGGTAAAGCACCCAGCTGGAGTGATGCAGATACCAGAGATGTGCTTAGAACCTTTGTCGGCTTCAGGGCTGCTTCGGGTGTCAAGATTATATGCAAGGTGATTCCTACTGCAGAGAATAAAAGCAGTAAAGTTTCTTGCCTGAAGAAGGAGGGATCAAAAACTGTTACAAGTGGTGTTTTGTCTTGCATTTTATCATGGGTGACAGAAGTGGTTACTAGAAAAGCTATGTAATACATTTATGCTTAAAGCAACCAACTTCATGTTTAGATTAAATTCCCTTTCTAGTGAGTTTTATAGACTCATTAAATCCAACCATATGTCATGATCCCTGTACCTGTAAGCTGTGTATCCAGCAGAATAATTTAGTGTTGTTCAATTAAGGTTTGTTTTGGTTTTTTTTGTTGGTTTGCTGGCAGGATACAAGCTGCGTGTTTTAGCCTGTGAATACACATGCAGGTGTGCAGCGTGCACCACACGCAGGAAGCAGCAGAGGATGGCTGTGCTGAGCTGTGGCTGCGCTTGTGGGGAAGGTGAGAGGATGAAGCTGCTCTTCTTGTCCAAGGTGCTGAAGCGCTTTTCAGCAGCAGCGAGATACACTCAACCTCTTTAGCATCTGCTGTAGCTTTTCAAATGCAGGATGTGGAAAAGTTTGTTCATAGCTGGAATGAGACGGCAGTGAGTTCCTCCGCTGTCTGGGAAGTGAGGGGTATCAGTTTGGGAAGTTTAGACGTTGAGATCCCTGTTTAATCAGGATGTCCCTTTCAAATCAGGGTGCTGTTTTAAAACTGCAGAAGGAAAAAGCATGACTCACTGTATGGGCCATGTATGGCTTAACACACATTTTAGTGACTGGGACTTCAGTGAAATATTTCATCTAGTGGGAAGCTGGAAAGGGATAGTGCAGTGTCTGAGGGGGAAGGAAGCCCTCAAATCTAGTTTACAAAAAAACCCTACATCAGCCAGACCACTTTTCCAATTGAGGCTTGTGCCTTACAGTGTGCGTGAAGCATGCCAGTGTAATTGCTGTATTTCAAAGTTCAAAGGAAGGAAAGCTGTTGAATTACGCACTGCCAGTCAGGGTCTCTGCCAGAAGCTGTTAGGAAGTGAGGATGAAGTCTGGCATTGCAGGAGGTGGCAAATGTCATCAGAGGTGGGTGGAGGGTGTTAGCCTGGTCCTTCTCTGATCTCACTGGGATATTTCTTTCTTTGTACAATGAATGTAATAGCACTTGGATGCATCCTAGGTGCTCTGTTGTGGGGAGGTTGATGAGGTTTATAAAGCACTCTGATGCCTGACAGGGTGGAGGAGGGCAGGATTTCAGGACCCGCCTCATGCTCAGTGCTAAATATTTGCTTGGAACCTAACCTGTGTTAGCTGTTTTTGACATCAGCTCTTGCTTTGCAGGGATAGCTTTGTGCCAGAGGCATCCTGTGGTTAGACAGTTCCTGAATTGTTTACAGTTACAAGCTGCACTGATTCACTGTCTCAGGATTGACTGACAGCACGGTTTCTAAAGCAAAACTCTGCACTATTATTGGTACATGTCACCAACCTTATTTTCCCCTAGGGGAAGGTTCTCTAGAAGGCTTGAGGTGTATCTTGGATAGGTGTGAAGACTTACTAGGAATATGTTAATCTTTGGATAAATTAGTTCACTTGCTCACTCCAGGGTCCTTCATTTCTGTACCTGCAGGCTGTAATTCCTGGCCTTGCTGGAAGTGAGTTCCTAATGGAGCCTTTTATGATTTCTATATGCATCCTCTTGGCCACAGTCTTTCTGTGCCCTCTTTAGAAAGCCATCAATACAGCTCTGGAGAGACATTTAGCTTTCAGATGTCCTTGCTTTCTCCATAAGCAGTGGGCTGCTTTTGAACTGGCTGTTCTCTCTGCTCTAGCTCTCACAGCAGCAGTGGTAGCTTTGCTTGTCCTTGGGGGTGATGCTCTTTGCCTGTGGGCCCGATCAGTGCTAAGTTGCTCTCATTCAGCTTTTCCAAGTGCTTGTTGCTGTCTGCAGCCCTATTCTGACCCGACTCTGAGATTTCCCTGGGGGAGCTTTACAGCTCAGTGTGTTTATGGGAGTAGCAGTAAAAATCCAGCCACAGAGATGCTTTTTTTTCCTGGATTGCCTGCTCTCAATTAGGTTTTTCCCAGACCGCAGGGTCTGTTAACATGCTGTCTGCAAGCCAATACAGACTTGTTCCACCGGGAACTGGCTTGCTGTTAATACTGGACCCACCTGGCTTTGAGTCCGGCAGCGCCAGCTCTTCTTGCCATTTTTAGCACATTCCACTGAACTCATTAGTGTTTTGTGCCTTAGGGGCCTGACAGGGAGGGATAATTTACAAGGCCTTGATGTGTCTGTGCAGGTTTTGCTTGACTGCATAAAATTCAGCTCCAGCAAGGGCTGTTGTTCGAGTATGAGGATTGTTTTGCTTTCCTTCATAGCAGTGCATGGGAAGTCAGGCTGTTGCCCAGTGCTAGTGTGGAGGGATCCACCTGCACGTTCCCGTTTTGCTGCAGAGGGAAACAGCTGTCTGCAGGGGTGCGTTTGGAAGGGCTGTTTGAGAAGACAAACCCCAATTGTCCCCACAATGGCTCCCCAAAGGGTGACTTCACACCACCTTGATTTGTGAAAGCGCCTCTGTGTAGATGCAAGTCCCTGCAGCTTGTCTCTGCAGAGGTGTCTCATGGCAGCTGTTGGGGGTCAGTTCTCCTGCCAGGGAAACCCAGTTGGGCTCTATTGCAAATCTTTGACTGGTGCTGCTGGAAGGAGAGGCTCTGACACATGACTTGTATCACCCTACGTGTTGTTTCCCATTAGAGTGGAGCAAAATCATTCCCTCAGAGTAGGCTTCTGCTCTTCTTCCCTAGGGAAGACTCTCAAGGCCCAGCGTGGCAGGGAGCAGGCAGGTGCCCTGGCAGCAGTACAGGGAATGACTGGGAGGGCAGCTTGTCAGAAATGTGATGTGTGACTTAAGCCGTATGAAAGTTGTTCAGCAGCCTTAGCTGTAAAGAGGCATGTGCAGGGGTGATGTGCCATTCAGCACTCAGACTTACAGTTTCGCTGTAGCTATGGTTCCTGAGAGCTGTTGTCAGAAGCTGTCATGGCTCTGGCACATCTGCCTCTTGACAGAGTGTTATTCCTCCCCCTGTGCACATATGCAGAAGCAAAGTCAGAATTAGACTTCTGCGGTTGTGTCCATGCTGGTGCTGCTGTGTTCTTAGGCTCTGAATGAGCTTTCTGCTAAATGAGCTCGAGTAATTGATGCTGGGAACAAGATACAGAATCAGATGCTCAAAAGAATGCGTTTTCTAGCGGTGCATGCAATCACAGGGCAGTTGTGTTGAGCCTGGGCTCAATATCGTTGCTGTGGCTTACTTGGGGATCCAAGCTATTCGATCCTTGGGGTGGTAACTGAGTGTGGTCTTGGCAATATCACCCTGTTTGGATCGGGGGAAGGAGTGTGGTTTGGGTGAATTGAGATAATAGGTGTGAAATCTAGCCACAAAGGCTTAAAGGAAACCTTTATCAGACTTGCGGTGTTCCCACTAGCCGCGTTTAGAACAACTTTACAAGGGGCCATTCCCAGAAAGTGATAGATGTTATATACTAGCTGCTTTGTCATTGGAGCGATCCCACCTGCCCTCACATGAGAAATACCGTGGTAGGGTTCAAGCCCGTTGAGGATCCCCCAAGAGACCCTGGGGATCAGCACCTCAGCCACATGCAGAGCGAGACAAGACACAGTTAATGATGTATCTTTCTGTTGACACTCGTAACCTTTATTTGCTCAGTGCCAGAAAGCATATACAGTGAATTCCCTTTCCTCCCTCTGGTTATCTTGAAACTTGTGGAGTGTTATGATTTTTCTTATTTCTTTTCATGTAAATTTTGCTTATGTGAGGGTTTTGTGGCAGTGGAGTGGCAGTTCCCTTGACTGCATAATCTGTACCAGCAAAAGGACTCTCTTGTTACTGAAACCCTGTCTATAGGAGGACTCTTGTTGGTCTTTCAATGTTGAGCAAGCTTTTTTCCCTGTTAATCTGTTATAATTTCTTAGTGCAGAGAGAAAAAACCCTAGTGAAAAATTCATTTTTGTTTCTACCAAGTTCATACTTTCTCCATCTTGTATAAGATCGATCCAGCCTTGTGGGTACCAGAGTACCAATAAAACATAGGCTTTTGACTTTGGGAAAATACAAGAAATTTTAATGCAACAGACAGGAGAGAGGTCCAGCATAAATGTCTAACGTGCTAGTTTTATTTAAAGATTATCTCTTGGTGCTAAAGTAAGAAATGTTCTTTAAAAAAAAAAATCAAATAAATAAATAAATAAATAAATAGAAATAGGAATAACTTTCAGTTGAAGAGTTTAGAAAGCATCCGGCTTTCATCTTGGGAGGAACTGGTACTGTAAAGCATTCTTCCGAGTAGGATGTAGGGAGGTTGTCCTAATTCTTCCTGGAACCTGCAAGCCAAACATGAAATAAATGTTACTAGAATCTGTTTCTCTTTCAGTATATGCCACTATTGTCAGTAGTGCTTTTACCTACTAAATCAAGAGAGACAGGGTTTCTTTTGAAAACCTAATATGAGCTTAAATGAATTAATTTCTCAGTCTGTCTTATTAAAGACTTAAATGAGAACCTGCTCCTCCCCTGTCGCATGATGCAGATGCAGTCTGTTCTGTTTAGCGGAACGGCTTAGGCAACACTCACCATTGCAACCCATTCCACTCAGGGAGCCGATTCTGTCAATTCTTCTCCCGAAGCAGCCAGAATCTCTCATCATCTTGGGCATCTGCAGCCCCCTCAGTCTCTTGAGGAAGGGGTCCCTGTAGGACAGAGGGGTGCTGGGTTCTAGCCTGGGCTCAGCCTTCTGGTCATCACTGTCATCTATGAATTCTGGTGGGATCTCCTCCTTGGTTTTGGGCTCTTGCAGATCAGGATTGGACTCCAGGGCTTCAATCATTGCAAACTTATCCTCCAGTTTCTCCAGCAGAGCCTGCAAGAGAAGGATTAATTTAATGAAACTCCTAGTTTTGTGGTTGTTTGCTAGCTCTTGCAATCATCCAGTTCTGCATTTGTCAGTGGTCCCATAGCCACCCCTAGGGACACTGTCAGGTTGGATCCCAGGGTTGCTGGTGGTACGTGAGCTCTGTCCCCTGCCGTAAATCCCCGTTCACACTAATTCTGACAGTGGGTAGCTCTAGCTGAGAGCTGGTTGAAGCTGCTTGCCACAGAAGTGTATTTCACTGGCAAGGTTAGAAGAGCTCTTGGCAGAGAAAAAAAGCAAAGTCTGAGTGGCACAGGGAGATAGTACTCAGTATCTCCTTTGTGTACCAGTGGTACTCTACCCAAGGAGTTACAGGATTGCTGCTGCTTACAGTAACACGCCATGTCCCTGAAAATACCTGTACACTACGTTTGTCTGCTATGTGACTTCTTCCTGGGTACCATTCTCTATAATTTTTAAAGCTTTCTGTAACTGGGATCAGATAACCTCCTCAAGGGCAGCTCAACCAGTTAAAGGAATGTGATTATCCATCTCTAGAAGCAGAGTGGAGAGGAGTGAGCCTTACGGCTTTTTTTAGCCACTCTTCTCGGCGAGCTGCTGGAGAGAGCCTAGAGGCATGGGGCATTTTTAGCTTTAGCTGACACTGTCCTAATCATCTTAGGGAGTGTGGTCTCAGGGTCTGATGCTGTGAGAAGCTAGTCACTCATACCAGAAATGTTTGAGCTTTCAGACTTCATCTTGCAAGACTAAGCCTTAAGCTTGTATTGTGCTGCAACAATGGATGTTCTCGAAGTATCATCAATTAAATACGCATGTGGTAATTTCATAGCTTTAGAAGCTTTTCTGTATGTGTTACACTAAGTGATCATACTATTTGTCTAGTAACTCTTCTAAAAGTTTGACTTTGGGTGCTCCGCTTTACCTCCTCATCTCCTATCCACGTGCAGCCAGTTCTCATAAATCTGTAAAGCCAGAGCCGTATGGCTGTCCCTCTTCACTGTTCCTGACATTTAGTGGGAAAAACAGGAGCCTGCCTGAAAGTTTTCTATTTGTTCTTATAGAGCTCCTGTGATGATTTGTTCCCTCTCTGGGACTTTGCTCCCAGTAAGGTGAATGCTTAAGAGAAACCCAAAATCCCAGAGCAGACATCCCACAACATCAGAATTTTGTTTCCCACTGCTACCCAGGAGCTCAGGTGAACCCAGCACTGGAGGATATTGCTCTATAGAGCTTCTCTGAACCCCCGTGAAGAACTGAGACTTTGTTGCCCAGCATGCGATCGCTGATGTGGCTAACCAATCATGCAAAAGAAAGGCAAAAACACCACCTCACCCTCTGTTAAGCACCCCAAAAGTTAACCTTGCAAAAGGAGAAAGTTCTCACCTCCATGCTGGCCAGTTCTTTGGCAGGGCTGAGGCTGTAGATGGGGTTGGCTCTGCCCGACTGGAGTTGGATGAGCAGCAGCAAGAGGAAGCCACAGGAAAATGAGCCTTTAGGGTCCATGGCGCTGGGTTCGTTGGGAATAGAGAAGTTCAAGCTGTTTCTTCTGAGATGACTCTTCAGGTCTCTCTCTTCCTTGTCCTATCCTCTCTCTTCCGAAGCTCGTCTTTTATACTCTTTGGGTGTGATCTCTGCTTCCTAGGTTATCAGGGGATTTATCTGGGGCACATTCCAGTCCCATTGCAGGCATGCAGCTCTGTCAAGGGAAGATTCCCTTTATTAGCTGTCATTAGGCAGCAGCTGCTGTTGCTGAGGAATGTATGTCACAAGTCAGTGATTTCATGTCACTCCCCCTCCTCTTGATACCAGGCGCTATGATTACATAGTCCAGTTGGAAATTCTTAGCAATTTTCTTTCAAGAGACCCCTATGGTCAGATTTACGGAGATGGGAAACAACCCTGAAACTGCTCTGAACTCTGCTCAGTTAGAAGCTTTCCATAGGGAAATTACCTTTTAGAGGAAAAACAATAGACTTTTCAGATGAGTATTTGGTGGAGAGTAAAGGCTGAAGATAAATCTACTTTTAGGACACCTAAAGTATTGTGCACAATTTCCTTCTATACATGGAATATGCACAGCCACCGCATGCCATGGAGTGTGCTGAAAATCCCAGGTTTGGGCCACTTCTCTTTTCCCATTGCCGTTGAGGTGATATCACCGTTGAGACTTTGTATGTTGCCACCAACAGAGGCACTCCGATCTGCACCTCAATATGGACGATAACTTCTAGACTGACTCTGCAGGGACACCGAGTACCTCCAGCCCCCCCCCCGCCGTCAACTGACTTCGGCACCGTTGAAAATCACTAGTCTTTATTAACAGCTAAATGTTTAAGTCAATGGGATTTCTTTAAACATCGATGGTAAGGCTTGACCCTACGTTAATAAAATTTAAAGAAGAGATGGTCCGATTAATGAATAATCTTCTTGTACTGTCATACAAGAAAGCAACTTGCTCGGTGAGAACTTTAGTTAGATGGCTTTTGGTATTATTCAGCAAAGGTATGAGGATCTGGCCCCAAGGAAGAATGAATGAATTTGTGTACGTGTGTATTTTGTGGGGTTAAAATGAAACTTTTTGTTTAATATATTAAAAATAAAAAGTATTTATTTGTTTCTTTGAAAGCTGAAGTTTTCAGGATTAGCTAAAAACTCCAAATGCTTAAATGAGAAATTACAAAAATGCAGATTTGCTGCAAATTCCTCTTCCAGCGTTGTCTTTGTTCATATAGTGCAACTAAAAGTTCGTCATTTTAACAGAACTGCAAGGGCGCTCCAAATTGTGAAGCATATTGCTTATCCTGCATTTTCATAACGTTTCTTGTTATTCCACATTGAAACAAGAATGAATATATATGAGCAAGTTGAGTATGTCAGTCTAGTAATAATTTGTTGAATTTTAATACGAATATAGATCTTGATAGGATCTCCTGAGTGCAGTTTCTAAATAATAATAGAACGATAAAATATTTCTCATGTCTAAAGTGTCTTAACATGGTGTTTGTGTACAAACATGTGCACACACTGTTCACATGATCCGCTACCAAAATTATACTAGAAAGGGCATTCTCAAGGTTGTGCAGTCAGGTTCAAATGCTACTTTTTCCTAGTATAGCCTAAAGTCAGCCCAACTCCGCGTGTGTTCTGAAGTCCTTTATTATAAGAGCACTCCCTATTTTTCCCCAGTGCTTTCTTTTTTTGGTACATGAAGGCAGTACTTGTTTTTTGTATTATTGTGTGCCCCAACACATTCTTATTTTGTGCTGTATAGCTTTTTTTTAATTAACACTCCCTACTGCATTGTCTGTATCATTCACTAATTAGTTACAAGTCTTCTTTTACTGCGGCTCTTGTGTCTATGTGTCTGCAGCAGGACGTAACTTCATTTTGTAAACCGAGAAAGTGTGAAAAGATAAAACAGAATTTTTCATTGAGTGTCCAATTTAAGATAACTAGGATCTGTTATTTTTTTATTTTTTGTTTCTTTCCTTTCATGCCCCCCATCCACTAAACATTCTCTAGTGCTGTCTCTGTGCAGTAATACCCTGTCGCTCGTTCTGCGTTTTGCCTGAGAGCTCAGCACATCTGTCGAGCAACCCCTGGGGCACAAACCCGGCAGTGAGAAACTGAGGAAGACAGTGTCAGTCACAGGTGTGGAATATTTAGCATAAGTGACCTGTCCCTGTGAAACAATCTAATATTCCAGGATTGTATTAAATAACCTGAACCCAGAGATACTCGCTTCTTTTACTGGTTTGTTCATTTTCCATCTTCCATATTCCATTGCAGGTAAGTGAGACTTCAGCCTTGACAACACTTTATAAGACAGAAAGATTTCTGTGCACTGTTTCAGGTACTGTGTATAGAAGTATGTAGATGGGATGAAGTGGCTGGCTGTCACCGTAGCTGATGTGTTTTCAACGCCAAATTCTGCCCTCTGTTATCCATCTCACCATTCAAACCGGATGGAGTGTAAAATGTTAGAACTCAGCTCATCATTGTTGAGGCTATAAAGCTCACTTGTTTATTTGCTTGTGATATCTCAGCATCATCACCCTGGCGAGATTAATATCAACTTTAGTCTTTATAGCCCAGCAGTAAAACTGTCATCCTAGGGACTGGCGTCAGGTGGATTTGGTCTGCAGATAGGTCTGTCCTGACTGATGCCCTTACCTGCTCCACATCCTTCCCCTGCTGTCCTTCTCCTATTGCCGTTTTGCAGCTGAAGAGCACTAGAGTGAGCTGATTGGGAAGAGCCTTTGTAGTCCTGTTCCGAGGAGGAGGCTGCATTCAGATTCTTTTCATCTCTCTGAGACTAAACTCTCTGACAAGACTGTGCCGTACCCCACGCAAGCTCTATTTCCCTTCCTCGCAATTCAGTTGAGTTAAGAAGGAAATGCACAGAGAAGGCCATCAGTGTGGAAAACAAAAGAGAAATGTAATAATGCCTGGTGCAGGGCGTGCAGCACCAAGATCCCAGGTCAGGCCATACTGCGATTAAGATAGTTAAGTGGTGCCTCACTTTTACCAGGGGGAGGAAACTTATTTTCATCCCAAACGTTTCTCTCGCTGTTTGGGATATATTAACTGTGATGTGGGTGCCCCTTCCTTTGCTGGACTCCCCAGGCTCAGTGCAGGCAGCACAAGCCTGCTGCTCTCAGTTCCTCTGGCGCGGGGCGTTTGGCCATAGCTGGAGCCTTGCTGTGTGTTCAGGGCTCCCTGCGCTTCACAGCCTTGAGCGGCTGGAGGGGGCTTTGCCCAGCACCGGGCGGCAGACCGAGGGGGCTCTGCTGGAGCCGAGGGACGTGAGCTTGGGGAAAAGTGCTCCTGCGAGCGGCGCTGGGCCGGGGGAGCTGGGCTCGGCCGGGGATG